ATAGAAGTGGGTTGTGGCCCACGAAAGCTTATGCTCTAATAAATTTGTTAGTCTTTAAGGTGCCACAAGTACTCCTGTTCTCATCTGTTTGAAGTAACCAAAGTCTGTCAGAGATAGCTCACAGTCTGCCTCTGTCAGGGAGGTCCTGTCAGGGATTAAAAGGAATTAGTTGGCAATATGCTCTGGAATCTTTCCAAAAAGCCTTTGGGTTTTAGAATTTGCTGAAAGGACACATAGAATCCTCCGAGAACTCCTTTTAAAAGGCTGCTTACTTGGATATTATGCAGTGGTTAGGATTTGGCCCTTAATTTGCCTTTTTCCTTTAAAAAAAAAACATGACTGAGATGGCATAGAGTGCAGTTTTCTGTTATGTGTGTATGTGTAGAAAGCAGCTGTGAAAATAACTGCATTATATCAGTATTTGATAAACCATTTTAATATCAAAATATGTATTTTTCATAAAATCTGATCACATCAAAAATAACATTTTAATTCCCTACATTTCCAAGCAACCATTACCTCTTTGTCTTATCAGAGTCAACTTCAGCAGAAGAACAGAACCTATTTTATTCTGCAAATAATATTGTCCTTCCACCTATGCTGTGAAGCAATACCAGACCTCAAAAGTCTTTAACCTATTTCCCCTGTTTCTTCAGACTCAGTTGTCCATTTACAGCATATACTGGCTACCACTGGCTGACAAAGGCAGAAGTGAAATAGTTCACCGGGTATTCTCCCACAATTCAAAACACTGGAAGGACAGCAGAATTTTTGAGACAAGAGAAATGTAATTCAATGTCAGATTATATCTACTTATTTGTTCTCTTTTTGGGATTGCAGCACAATGCTGAACCAAACAAAATGTGAACTGAAAACATACATATTTAGACCAGGATACTGCTACTCTTGCTCATGTTAAGTAGTAATTTACTACATACGTAGTCCCACTGATTTCAGTGAGACTATTTGCAAATAAGTTAACTATTCAGTGTGAATAAGCGCAGCAGAATCAGAGTCTAAAAAACTGAATTCTATAGGAACTAATAAATTATTGCATAAAACATATGACATAAACAATAAAAGGACATAAACATACATGCAAAGATGAACAGCCTGTTTGAAAAGTAAATAGATTTTGCAGAGCTACCATCACATTAGCTACTGAGCAGGAATACAGTAATTTAAATGCAATACTGATAGAGAAGTATTATGTAACTCCATTCCATTAATTGAGATTCTCCATTCCATTTTATCAGCTTTATGCTAGTGCAACTCCATTTCAGGAGTTGTACTAATGTGAAACTGGTGTAACAAACAAGAGAATCAGGCTGTGCACGTCTAAATACAGTAGAAGGATAAATGGTAGAGACATTCAAATACAAAAAGGCAGTTTTAAAAAAATTTCTTATTTTTACTTGGAAAGGGTAAGACTTACCAACAGACAGTACAGATGCCTGGTTAATATAAAGGCGGTTGATACTTTCTAAATCACATATCTTCCCAAATAGAAGAGAACTGAGCAGGCTGCTTATTCCAATTCCTACCATAATGTATGATGCATCATCCAAAGAAATGCCCAAGTCACCTGCAAGTTTCATCTGTAAATAGAATATCAATTCAATGTATCTATCACAAATGATACAGTGCACATTTGTTAGTTTGTGCAAGTTTAGAGTTTGGCCATTATTCCAAACAATTTGAATTAAAACTCTGCTTAGAAGGAGGTTGTCAAAATACTGCATGTATCATAGCTTTTAAAATATTTTTTGTCCTCATTGTTTAAACCTCTTGAAAGCTTGAAATTTAACTGTTCTTTTGCTAGCTGTTTTATTTTTTTATTTCATGAGCATGCAGGAAAGCTTACCCATGACATAATGTTTGATTTCACTCCAGTTCTGAGAGAGGACTGGCATAATATTTTACATTTATCTAGTGCCTTTCATCCCAAATAATCCCTAAATGTTTCCGATGCTGCAATTTATGTTGAGAAGGGTAGCAACCACCTGGTGTACAGCAGTGGGAGGAGAGAGGTCTAGCTAATGACATCAGAGATTAACCCTTCCTCTTATGAAGAATGTGATGCTCTTATTTGCCCCACAATGTCCACCACTTAGATTATTCCTATATAGGGGGAAGTGGAAAATCACAACTGTTCCTTGACAACCTTCTGTCAAGGGGCAGGGTTTCCACCACTGCTCCACCTGGAAGAGTCTAGAAGTTCTACTCCCTAAACCAGCAGATCTCAGGTGATCTGCTTGAGATAAGAGGCTTCCATATGGAGGACCCAAGCCTCTGCAGTGCTCTTTAGCCCACCAAACCAATTACAGGACATGCTGCTCAGTGCTCCCCAGCCATAGATGGATTTTTATGGCACTGAGAGGTAGAAGCTGCACAAGTTACTGTTGTGATCAATGAGGCCTTGATCTCAGTTGAGGCCTGTAGGTGCTACTATAATACAAACAATAATAAATAATAATAATGAGTCTAATATTTTCTTCTGAGGTGGAGAGGAAAGGCCTCTGTAAAAACGCGTTAAGACAAGACTCCAGACAAGGGGAAGCAGACTAGAGAACACAACATTGGGGCCATTTATATGGTGCTCCCTGTCCCTTAAGTCAGTGGTTCTCAAAGCCGGTCCGCCGCTTGTTCAGGGAAAGCCCCTGGCGGGCCGGGCCGGTTTGTTTACCTGCCACATCTGCAGGTTCGGCCGATCGTGGCTCCCACTGGCCGCAGTTCATTGCTCCAGGCCAATGGGGGCAGCAGGAAGCGGCGGCCAGCACATCCCTCGGCCCACGCCACTTCCCGCAGCCCCCATTGGCCTGGAGCGGCAAACCGCAGCCAATGGGAGCCGCGAACCGCAGCCACTGGGAGCCGCGATCAGCCGAACCTGCGGATGCAGCAGGTAAACAAACTGGCCTGGCCCGCCAGGGGCTTTCCCTGAACAAGCGGCAGACCGGCTTTGAGAACCACTGCCTTAAGTGACAAGTGACATATTGCTATTTTAGATGAAAATGCCATTAAACATCAACTACAGAAGAAGTCTGTTTTAATGAAGTTAGCTTGACTGATACACAACTTTACTAATTAGTATTCAGTTTCTATTCTTTTGACAATAACTTGTTGCTTTTCTAAACTACAGGTAAACAGTAGAAATTTCAGAAATTTATTTAAAAAAAAATCACAAATATATATGTCCATTAATCAAAATATAGAAATTAATTCTTACCATATGCACAAAGGGTATGAAGAATCCAAATTTTGCTAATCCAAGAGCACAAACCCATAACTCAAAGATACTATCCTTCCATAAACTCAGATCTACAATGAAACCTCTTAAAGGTGATGTCTGAAAGTTTTCAACAACACTTGGATGTCTTCCTTTAAGAAAAAAATAAATAATTAAAATAAAATTATATTTACCATTTACTTACACACATTTTATATAATATAGATATTTTAAGTAGAGCTCTCACTACTAGGACTCAGAAGCTCTTTCATTTTCTTCTTATATGCAGAGAAAAAGAATGTATATATGCAAGTATGGGACAAGCCCACACAAGCCCAATACAGGATAAGTCTGATTTTATAGTGACCAACATACATTATGTCATGTGTTTTTGCCCTCGTATATGATCCAGACAACTTGAGGAAAGCAAAATTGTTATGAAGAATCCTACAGAATCATAGAAATGAAGGACCTCGAGACATCATCTAGTCCAGTTCCCTGCACTGAGGCAGGACGAAGTACTATCTAGGCCAGTGGTTCTCAATCTATTTATTATTGTGAGCTGCATATGCGGCTCACAATGTGTTACCTGGGCCACAGGTTGAGAACCACAGCAGCCCCCCCCAACTCCTCACAGACCCCTATGCCCAGCACCCCAGCCCCCCGCCCAGAGACCCCTCCACAGAGTGGGGCCAGGAGCAGACCCCACTGCGGGGCTGGGTGGCAGGGCAGCCCTGGTGGCCCCAAATCACGCCACGCCGGGCAGGGCAGCTCGGCAGCCCCGGACCCCGCCGCACGGGGCAGGGCAGCTCGGCAGCCCCGGACCCCCAGACCATGCCAGGCCAGGCAGCAGGGCAGCCAGGACCCTGGACCCAGACCTCGCTGCACCGGCAGCCCGGACCCTACCACACGGGCCTTACAGCCTTTAGCACACAGCTGGGCTGCAGATGTATGCTAATTGGGCCGCATGCGACCTGTGGGTTGAGAACCATTGATCTAGACCATCCCTGACAGTGTTTGTCTAACCTGTTCTTAAAAACCTCCAATGACAAAGATTCCACAACCTCCCTGGGTAATTTGTTCCACTGTTTAACTACCATTACAGTTGGGAAATTTTTCCTAATTATCTCACCTAAATCTCCCTTGCTGCAGTTTAAGCCCATTACTTCTTGTCTTTTCCTCAGTGGTTAAGGAGAAAAATGTATCATTCTCCTCTTGATGTTTTACATACTTGAAGACTATTATCATGTCCCCTCCCTCAGTCTTCTCTTCTCCAAATTAAACAAATCTTTCCTTATAGGTCATGCTTTCTAGATCTTTAATCATTTTTGTTGCTTTCCATCTGGACTGTCCTCAGTTTGTTCACATCTTTCCCAAAGGGTGGTGCCCAGAACTGGACACAATACTTCAGCTGAGGCCTTAACAGTGCTGAGTAGGGTGGAAGAATTACTTCTCATGTCTTGCTTTGCACTCCTGCTAATATATCCCAGAACGATGTTCACTTTTTTTCAACAGTATAACACTGACGACTCATATTTAGTTTCTGGTTCACTATAACTCCCAGATTCTTTTCTGCAGTACTCCTTCCTAGGCAGTCATTTCCCATTTTGCATTTGTGCAGCTGATTATAAACTTAAGCTCTATGTGCAAATCCTGCATTTTCCCCTAGTCGCTAAGTGGCCAAAGAGGATGGGAGTAGAAAACTGAAATGTACTCCTTACATTTTTATTCTAAAAATGGGGAGCATTCCTCTCTACCATCTTCATGTGTTCCCCCAGCCTCCTAACCCACAGTTCCTCCCAGTTCCAAGTTCCTCTCAATTTCCCCACCTGGACTGTTACCCTCCATACCCCTCACTCAGTTCAGCAGGTGCAACAGCACAATCTGGAGTCAGCAGCAAGTCAGTTTATATTTGTAAACATTTTAAATCATTTTAAAAGTTGTTCAACATACATGTGAAAACAGCTTTGAATAAATATGGCCTTGCTAGAGCTGCAAGTAACAAGAGAAGTGAAGAAACAAGAAAAAAAACAACCTATATCCTGGCACTTGAAAGCACAGGTGCCTCTATGTAGACCATTTCTCTAATCTGGCCCAATATACCATCTCATAAGGGCTGTCTTCAACCTTATGCAAAAATAAAGCAAAACAGTACATAAAGGCTGTTTTGCTTAGCTAGGGAAGAAAGCAAATAGTCCTTAATTACAAGTCTCTTGTAAGCAATACAGAAAGATAATCAGTGATCCAGTTCCTTGTTGCTGACTGAGTGAGGACCTGTGCCAGTTTCTTGATTTTGTGTCCTGGCTGGACCGTGCAGAGTTACAGAGAGTGTTCCTGAACTACTAATTGTTATCCCTGCTCTAATGAGCTTCTAGTTAGCACCTTCCCTGCATACAGTATATATCTTTGCAACTGTCCCATTAACCGATCCAAACACACATTTTTCAGAATGTCAAACATAAAAACAAAACAAAGATTATGGCAATATGATGACTCAAATAAAGTTAGGATTTTTTTCAAAAGCTCAATGGCAGGGAAAGTTTTAAAATACCATAATTTCAAAAGTTTTTCTGAGTTTTTCCCAACATCCCAGAAACCTGGCAGATGTGGCATGTGAAATTTCAGGGAAACTGTTTTCTTTTAGAGGAATTTGGACATTGAAAATTGGAATTATAAGGGAAAGATAATTTTAACTATTTTAATAGAGCAGCTACCATCTCTCTATTACAATTAAAGAGCTAATACTGGAAACTCATTAGCTTTCAATTTTGCTTTATATATTTAAAGCTAAACCTGAAAGCATCCCAGCTCTGAATTTTCTTTCTCCCTCTTTTGCTTGCTACAACTATGGATGTTTCTTTCAGACTTAAGTTTCTACTTGAATGTCTAATTTATTTATTTTTTTTAAATTTAGCCTGGTATTTTCAGAGGAGCCTAAGGGGTTTAGATACTCAAATCCTACTGAATTTCAATGGGATTGAGATACTATATTAGGTTGCTTTGAAAAATCTAAGTTTAAACTGTTAAAGAAAACCAACCACAAAAGATATTGTTAAATACAACATGACATTTCGTTTAAAACAGCTTACTACCACAGCAGTCAAAGGAAAGACTGGACAAGGAAACTGGATTCTTTTTATTGGCAAAGAAATCAGGCAGAGTGATAGAAGCAAGTACTGTAGTTTTGACTCTCCAATTTCCCTATCCACCTTATAATGTAGTTTATTCTAAAAGGAAAGTAAGCAAATCACAAAAGTTTACTTTAAAGGTCTTAAGTAAATAAAGGTAAGGGGGCCAGATTCACCAGTATGCACCAGCTACTCTATACCAGCCCATCATCGCAAAACACCTGTAAATCCAGTTTCACTGGTTTATACCTGCTTTATGTTGCTAGTGTACAATAAATCATCCAGAGCCTACTGATGAATCTTATGCAGTATATTTAAATGAAGCCCTTATTTACATTATTTTTTAACATAAAACCTAGTATTAACTTTAAGGCCATTTAATAAATATTAAGTTTATTAACAATTAAATTTAACACTGCTAAAGAATCTGGTATTTCAGACCAGATTAAACTTTCTGAACTGAGAACATATTTTCTCATTTATGAACAAATGATAGACCCAATGTGAAAGGCATTTGCACTTAGGTCACAGAAAATCCAGGTATTTTGCAGACAAATCCAGAAACTCTTTATGAACCACATGTGAGATGGAGAACAAGAGCAACAGACCACAATTTGAAAGCCTCTTTTTTAACCACTTGAATAGTCTGAAGAGTCAGTAACATTCAAATATAATTCAAGTAACATTCAACAATCAAGAAATTAATCATTAAAGTTAAGCAAGTTATAACATTATGGATCCTAGAGTGAAAATACTTGTGTAAAGCAATCCAAACTGAAAGCATAACTGCCCTCATAGACTGCTGATCTGCAAAACATAAGTTGCTGGCCTCCTTTTGTCTGCGAGAGACGGTGGGAACTGCAGCCTATGCTGTAGATGCTTTGCAATGTCTCATGTGACTGAATAGGCCAATCTGAGATTTGCATGATCTTTGGCAGTTTTTGCAAATGTATGTATCTTGGTTGGGAGCTGCTTGCTTGAAGAGAAAACATAAGAGGAATCTCACATTTCCTATGGTATCACAATTAAATGAAGAGAATTTCCATGAAAAAATGTGAAGCCCCAACATATTTTAGTTCTGACTGTTGTATTGTTACTATCCAGTTTTTAAAATCTGAACACCAAAATTATGACTTCTGTTGGAGTCAACCTAAGTAGAGAGTGGGTGAAAAATGAGCAAGGACCTCAAGGTTTGCCCAGTGTTAGTACTTTTTTCTCTTTCACAAGATTATATCCTCTGTTTCATATTTTCCAGAATGACCCTAGTTAGAAAGCATATCAGTTGATGAAGAATTTTGTGTTTTTATAACAGAAACACAGGAATAACAAAAACTAATCTAATTTTTAACAAAATTTCAAAAAGAATGACATACGTTTTTCAAGTGGTCTGTATGCAAACCCAGCAAAAATACATATTGTTAGAATTCCACAATACACACGCAGACTAGTTCTCCATCCAAATGCCTTGATTAGGTATCGATGCACCTGATTCTGTACCAGAGTTCCTGCTGCCCCGCCAGCCATCACAATCCCAGTTGCAAAGGAACGCTTTGTGGTGAAGTAAAGGCTCACCATTATCAAGCCTATCAAAAACAAATAAAAATGTGAAAAGTTGAAAAGGAAAAAATTGTTTTACATTAAAAAAAAATTAAATTCAGCTATTTCCTATCCTTTTCACTCTCATCAAGGGCAATAGAAGCAACAACCCTCTCAGAAGGAGAGGACAGGGAGGGACGGGGCACCTTGGCTGAGACAGTGAGGGGGAACCTCACACAGAATGCTCTATTTCAACCATAAGTTGGGATCAATTCAGGAATTACTGGTTGAAGCCTGTGTTACACAGAGATCAGACTAACTGATTGTATTGGTCCCTTTGGGCTTAAAATATATGAACAGAAGAGGCCCAAGGGCAGTTTGTGGAGAGGGATACAATGACATCTGAAGCAAGGCTCCATATGCCCAGATAAGCATTAAAACTTTAGGATGTTTCTCAGAATCAACACCAAACTCCAAACATCTGGCATTCTCTTACCATTGGTTTTGTACGTACGGTGATTTTGCAATTGTAATAGCGGCTTTGTGCATGCTCCTATGTTTTTGCAATGTAATGTCATTATGATGAAACATCAGTGTGTATTGTTACAACATCACGATACACTATGTATGGTAGACAATGTGGGATTTAGTGGATTTTTTAGTTTAGTCCTCTAGGTCAGTGGTTCTCAACCAGGGGTACATGTACCCCTGGGGGTACGAAGAGGTCTTCCAGGGGGTACATCAACTCATCTAGATATTTGCTAGTTTCACAACAGGCTACATAAAAGGCACGAGCGAAGTCAGTACAAACTAAAATTTCATAAAGATAAAATGAAAAAGTCAGCAATTGTTCAGTAATAGTGTTCTGTGACACTTTTGTATTTTTATGTCTGATTTTGTAAACAAGTAGTTTTTAAGTGAAGTGTAACCTGGGGGTACACAAGACAAATCAGACTCCTGAAACGGGTACAGTAGTCTGGAAAGGTTGAGAACTACTGCTAGCTACAAATTCATCAAAATACACACAAAACACTCTACTGCCTAGAGGGTTGACAACCTCATTTTGTAAAGAGCATCATCCATTACAATGTTTTGCATGCTGGCAACTATATGCAACCTAATTAAGTCTAGAACAGGAAACAATATTGAAAATTCAACAGGAAATATATTTGTTTCCTGAATAGATTTTTTTCCATTTAAAAATACTAATGCTCTTTGTGAAAAGTCCATGACATTTGTAATCTTTTTCACTTGTAAAACAAAATGAGTGCTTATGCTTAATTAACATTACAAAGGAAGTCCTCTATCCACAGAGCTGGTACAGCAGGAATAATATTTTCACCATACTGCCCAATCAATGTGCTTCAACCCTGCCTTTGAAAGACCATCTACATAGGTGAGTGAGGTCATTCAGCCTCTAATCCAATTCCATTATTTGCCTCTCTGCTGAGACTACCAAAAAGCATGCCAATCAGTGTCAGTGTTTGTGAAGTGGACACCTGGGATACATACTGTCAAGGCTAATTACCCACTCTGGCACTTTGAGTGCAGAAGGTGGGGGCCCGCAAGGATTCTAAAAATTAATACTGGCTTGTATTAAACTCCTAAGGTTACAGCTTTTTTCTGACCTTGGATTGGTAGATGCTACCACAATCCAAGTGCAGAACCCCTTTGAGAGCCCAGGAAGGTGCACTTGGGAATTCCTTCCTGTGGGGTACCCTCAAGTCCTATAAATCATCTAGTTCCCAAAGCTTTTCAAAAAAATCTTTGTTTATTATAATTTCTCTTGTACACATATAATGATCATTATTATTTTAGAATGGAAAAAAGGAATATCTTAAGAACTGTACTGCCCATCACAAATGCAAGATGCATGCATCCAATTCATATTTTTGAATGAAGCATGTGTTTTCTTCATTAGATCATACAACTTTAACCTCCACTTTTTATTTAAGCAATGGAAGGAGGAACTTAAAAACAAACAAAACACTGACATTCGTTAATTTTTTTAAATTATTTTGTGTGTAGCTTGCTGCATTTTTGCCTAAGATCCTGGTCTACTGGTAAATAAATAAAAGCAAGTTACCTGGAGTAGAAGCGAAACTTGATCCTACACCTACTAGGATTCCATGGGTTAAAAATAGAACACGTATATCACCAGCATAAGAGGAACAAACAACACCTAACATGACAACTAGAGCTCCAAATATTGCTACTTTGATGGCTCCATATTTCTGCAAAAGTTTTCCAGAAACGGGACCAAAAATCATAATGAAACCATAACTGACTGATCCAATCCAGGCTGAAAAAGAAAAATATACTTTTGCAATTAAATGCATTAAATAAAACAGTAACTATGACATCAGATTAAGTGCCAGATACTCCACCTCTGTCAGTTGTCATAGTCAATGGATGTATGCTGATATTTTTATCAGTTGAGGATGTACATACTTAATACTTCCAAGATATACTTGTACTTCTATAATCAAATACTGGACACTGTGGGTACTAAGTGCCCTCTACTTTCACTGCAGCCTCAGCACTTCACAAGGTTCTGTTTAAAATTTCTAATTATTATACCAGTGCATATTACTAACATTTAAAAGCAATTTCAGAAATAATAGCAGAAGTAGCTCAAGGTGGCTTAAATCACAGCTTTTAAAATCTTTCACAAAGGGAAAATGTATTAAATTACATTGTGTTAAACTAACTTTACAAATATAGCAAATTAATAATTCAGTATTTACTTTGTACTTCTAGTAAAAAATCAGAGACATTACACCAGAGGCATGAAACTCATTCAAGGCAGAGAAACAAATTCTACTTGCAGTTATAGGCAGTAGCGGCCAGGATATAAATATAGACTATATGCTACCCTCAGTCCCAGCACTGTGAAAATATGTTCCCTTTTCAGGTCACCACTACCTCTGCCCTTTGTTTTTCTTCCTTCCCCATTTTCCTTTCTTCCCCTCTCCTCTCTTTCTGCATTTTTCATGTTCTTCCCTCTACATTTCCTTACTTTCAGCAACTCCCAAATACCACGTGGTCTTTTGTGCCTACCTGCACACCTCTTTTGGGTTGAGTGACCCAAGGTGAGAAGTCATAAATTATCAGGCACCCAGAATATTAACAACTACTTAGCACTATGTAAATGTAATAACAAAACCCCCCTGTATTTATAATGCAGTATATTGATCACAAATTTCTCTTTATTTCTGTAATAAGATCAAAATTTAATACCATAATGTGAACGTTATTAAACTTTCAATCATTTAAATTTTAAATTTAAAAGTCACCAAAAAGTTCTAACGAAGTTATATCATTCATTTTTACACGATTCCCACAAGTTAAACATTGGTTGGGGCTATATGGGACACCACTGGATTGGCCCCTCTATAGGTGTTTGATCCTGCCCCAGGGAAGTTAGTGAGCGCTTTATCATTGACTTTCAATGAGAGCAGGATCAAGCCCTACATGCTTTTTTCTAGGAGCCTGCTGAGGTGAGGAGCAGGTAACACCTGCACTAGGTGTACCATTGTGTCTTGCCCCTGCATAGAGGACATAAGGGTGAGGGGGCTGGCCTTCCTTGTGCCCTATTCCTCCCTTGTGCACCTGCCCAGGGCCAGGCACAATCTGGCCCCAGAGAGTAACAGACCCTTGAGCAATAAACAGTATGAGTTTATAACAGCCAGATAAACTTACAAATCTAACTGATTTTAATAAGATAGTAAAACTAGTGGATGAATAGAAAAGAGAATATAGTGTATTTGGATTTTAGGGTCTTATGAAATCCTAATCAAAAATATAATGTATACTGGCTCAGCTATGAGCACTAACACATAGCGACTGGAGCTCTCCCCAAGTTCCAGTCACTTTATGCTACCCTTTATGATCAGAATCTAATCACAGCTGCCCAGCACAGAATTCTCCCTAGGCTACTCTAACTTGCATTGGGGACCATAGAAACTGACACTTGAGAATAAAGAGCTACCATCAGATCCTTAATGACCACACAATCCTGTGATAAAACGATCTAAGCCTAGGACAGAAACTGGTCCATAGGCTGGTAATCGTCTGAAGCACTGTGAACAGATCAAAAAGTAATATAGCAATTTATCCATTTAGGGAGGCAGGTGTGTAGTTGGCTGCTGCCAGGGTTGACATTAGAGTCAGGCTTAATTGATATCTTCATTAATAATATAGAAGTGAGCGTAAATAACACCTTAATGAAATGTGTAGGTGGTACTACATTAGGAGGCGTTCCAAATACCAATGTGGACAGAGAAACGATACAGTGGGGGACCAAAAGTGGTTACCAAAGATTAACAGAAAATTGTAAAATAAAACTCCGCTTGCAAAATGTAACACATTTGGGAAAAATAATTTGAAACATACATATTCAATGGGAAGAAGAAAACTGGAAAGCAGTAATTTCATGGGAGACCTAAAGTGGTATTCAATGAAAAAAAAATCTTCATGTGTCACTATATTTAACTTTCTAGTCGTTCTCATGCCAAGCATAGGAATATATTAAATACCACAAATATCATGGTAAATTCAAACACCACAATATGACAAAAGGTGATTATTATATTTTTAAAGATGATCACTTTAGTGGTAACAGCAGACAGTAAATTAGGTGAGTTTTCAACATGATATGGTATCAAAAAAGACTGATTTAGTTTTGAGCTACCTGCACAGAAACATCAAGCCTTGGTTTCACATTATACATGGATGACCTACCTGTTCGTGACCTACTTGACTGGAAAGTCTCAAGTAATGAAATCATGTACACACCAAAAGCATTGTGGAATCCACTGACAAGCAAAGAGTGAGTACATGCAGCCAGCACCACAACCCAACCCCAACCCCCATCTGGGGGAGGGTAGAAAAATGATGACTCTTTCCGGAGATTATCAGCATTATCATCTTTCTCCAATCTGTGCATGGCATGATGCAGCACAGTACGTATCCTTCTCCCTTTAATCATGACAGGAAATTACGACCTGTATAAAATACATTATTTTAGTCTTAAAAAGTAGTTTGATTAAAAATGTACAACACAAAAGAAAATTAAATAGATTTATAATACTGTACAAAAACAAAATGTCTGTTACTATAGAAATATCTTGTCATGATGACAATGAGAAATAGAAAAAAATCTATGTCTAAAAATCACACACTAAAATCTCTTAATCATAATATGATTATTTCATGACATCATTATAGAGCAGAGTCAAGGTTTGTTAGATGCTCTCGTACATTTCTATACCTTAATGTAAGTTTAACCTTAAGTCTGAATTTCCTGGGTTTATATAATTACAATTGCTGCAACTTCTATAACACCTCCTCCTAAACTACTGGTGCTCTCACTGAGTTAGTATAGGGCTAAGCTCTGCTACTGCTGCATTCATCAAAAGGAACCAATGGCACTTTGAAGCAGGGCAGGGAGTTTTTAGAGGCTAGATCCACAGAGTCTAAGGCATTGCCCAATGCAATTCACAGCCCCAAGTGAGGCATGTAGGCTCTCTATATAATGCATGGGGAAAGTTAGGTGCCTACGTTAGCCAGTGGGAAATGTTGAGGAAAGGAGTGGGGACTAAACCCCCTCCCTTCAAAGGTAGTTAGGTGCTTAACTTTAGGGTTTAGGTAGGTACTTATGCTTGGGATTCAAAGCCATGAATCCTTCCTGGGTGTTAGGCACCGAAGCCAGCTCAATTTTTCCCACACAAATAAAAAGAGAGCACCACCACATTCCAGCCAATTGGTTAAGGCACTCCGCTGGGATAAGAGAGACCTATTTTCAAATCCCCATTCTGCCTGATTTGAAGCAGAGACTTGAACCAAGATTCTCACTCTGTGGAGAGACATTCTCACTCTCGCGGGGCCCAATGCTTAATTTGTTTTACAAAGTGGCATAGCTCCAACAGGAGGGATTGAAAGAGACCCACCCAGGAATGCCCATTAGGCTGGTGATTAAAGCACTCAGTTGGGAGTGGAGACCTCAGTTCAATTCCCTGCTCCAAATCAGGCAGAGTCTCTCACACTCCAGGTGAGTGTGGCTACTACAACACTCATACCTCAGCTAGCCCCAAAAATTCCTGATCTGCTTGCTCCCAGCTGTCTCGTGCAGGTTAGACATGCTCAGAGCATCCCGATCAGTTGGCAGGGGGGAACAGCCTAATCTGAGAATCCTGCCAGAGTTTAGGTCTGAGCTAGGTGCTGAGCAGCTCAGCAGCATCAGGAATTAGGCAGTTTTGCACATTCCCACCAGCAGAAAGTTAGGGAAACCTAGGGAATTTAGGTGACAGTTGAGCCATGGTTCTGAGGAGCTCAGTAGCACCTAAATGCTGGCTTTAAGCATGTACAGTGGGAGTTAAGCACCTAAGTCCTTTTGTGGATTTAGCTCCAGGTGCTTTCTTTATTGCTCCTCTGACTAAACTGAATGCCAACAGGAATACAAAGGAGGCAGAAGAAACTCGCCAAGTGTGGTTCTATCCTGAAAATAACTGTAAAAACTACTCTCTTATGGTCCAATCCTGAATCTCTCAAATCAATGGATGCAGCTTCAGGTCCTTACTTAACAGATCTGATCTTTGTGAATATTCAGTCACATCCATGTCTATTGTTGAAAAAAATAATTTTTTATTACTCTTGCTAATTAGGCTCCATTTTCAAGACTGCTTGTGAAATCCAAATGCCTTCAAATTATGTACTCAGGTTGAACTCCGATTCAGTAGCTCCTAGGCTAGGGGAAGGGCCCATAGACAGGGGCAGGCTTGCGCCCACCCACCACCAGGATTCAATAGGAACACTTGGGCAAACAGGCTGTACAGGTGTAAGTAAGGGCAGCATTTGGCCTGCCAGAATTTGTATTAATAGTGGTGATTCAAAAGGCAGAAGGCATGCAGCTTGATTTTGAGATCATATGCTGCGTTTGCATAGTTGGCAGTTAGAAAAAACTCAAATTGTAAACTGAGAAAATTTAATATGAAAATAGATATAATATATGTGAAACCCCATGATTCCATTTTTACAAAGTCACTTTTAAGAGTACAAACCACTTTTAGAACTGCAGCTGAAGAGATGGAAATTAAAGCAAAGTCTCCAAAGAATTCTCTCTGCATCACTCCAGACTGCGGGAAGCCAAGAGAAGATGCCCCAGCAGTTCCAGGGACTTCAGAGGTAACATTTTTGCTTCTTACCTAGCCTGCAGGAAGTAGCAGTTAAAATGCAAAAAGAACGAGGAGTACTTGTGGCACCTTAGAGACTTAGAGCCACAAGTACTCCTCGTTCTTTTTGCTGATACAGACTAACGCGGCTACCACTCTGAAACCAGTGATTGCAGTAATTGTTTATTAAACACTTGATTCAAAGTCTGCTGAAGTCAATAGGATTCTTTCCATTCACTTCAATATAGTAGCTAATTTTACAAAATATGCAATGCTGCAGTATGACAGTGTTTTTGTATCAAAGCTGGATGGGAAAACAGAAAGGAAAGAAAGAAAAAAAATAAAGAAGGGAAGGAAGGAAAAACAGAATAAGAGGATAAAGTGGGGGCAGAAACAAAGAAAAAGAATCAGGCTGGTAGCTTAAGACCTGTTGAAATGAACCTACCCTTAAAATGTAGATCTTCCCATTTGAAAGGCATTTTGGGGTAGGTGAAAAAGCCTGACTTCCACAGACAGATCTTGAGAACTAAGAAAATTGCAAACGAGTGCTCCTTGTGAAGTCTCTTGCAAGAAGTACCTCCTTTAGATTCCCATACATTTTTACCTTTATTTCCTCTATATCTGATATGCCAATGGCTTAAGTCTCTTCAGTATTTTGCTATCTTTGACTTTTATGAGATAATACTATTCACAAGTCATACTTTCATATTGTAGCTATCAGTTATATTCAAGACAAAAACCGTAAGAACCTGAAACTAACTACAGAAAGCTGCCTATTCAGGAAGCAGATTGAATTAATTTCATAACCCATTTGAGTGGATGTGCCTTAGCAGCTTTTTTTAACCTTTCCCTCACCTTATTCCTTTCAGAGGCAGATAGGTCACCTCTGGGATACTTGGACCTAACTGTACCTCCAAGGGATTTGTTAAGGGATCTTTGCACCAGAACAATCAGTAAATCAAGCCACCTACCTAATCTAATTTGCTCACAGAAAATTCATTTATCTTTGGTTAATTTGAGAACACTCTTCATCAGAAAAATATGGAGAATGTGAGACTCTTACATTCACTTTGTTCTTTTCTCCTGTTTGCTAAATGGTCGATTTATTTCTTTTCCTAGGGGAGGAGTAGGTAGATTTCAGTCTGAATCTGGGGAGGGAAGCTTATTTTATTTCTCCTTATTCTCTTCACTCCAGATGCCCCTTACCTATGTTAATTATTATAATTCATGGGCTCTGCAGTGTAATTATTACTTTGTATTATCTACACTACAGCTGCCTGCACCATGGCCTGGAGCATCCCAAACCATGGGCGAAGAGGCAGCAACTGTGAAAGAAGAGTTACTGTCAGCCTCTCTCTGGACCTGTCTAGCTGACAGTGACGCTCCCTGCATCCTATAATCCCTTACGCCCCCCTCCCCGGCCTTCTCCTCCCCCCAAATCACTCATCACCCCTCCCCATAACTACGACTCACCTATCATCACCCGTCCCACTCCCCAGAGTCCTGCCCCGCTCCCACACATCACCCCTTCCCCAGAGTCCTCCCCTTCGCCACCCATTGCCCCTCCCCACAGCCATGCCGCTCCCCCGCCCCTTACCCACAGCCATGCCCCGCATCACCCCTCCCCCCCACACACCGCTCTACGGCCGCTCCCCTGGAGGAAATGGAGGTGACGCTGCCGCCGCCGTTATTCCCCAGCAGGCCGGGGGCGGGGCCGAGCCAGGCGCGCGGGTGGGGCTGGGGGAGGTGGAACCACCCACCGTGCGGCGCACGCGGCCCCCGCTCCAACTCGGGAGGGGCCAAGTGGGAAACGCGCTGGGGGTGTGGCCGGGACCTGATTCCCTGAGGGGCGGGGCAGAGACAGCTGGGGGGAGGGGCCTGAAGGATGTGGGAGGCAGATCATGGCACTCGGGCGCTGCTACCCTGAGCAGCTGGGTAGGTGCCGCATGCCCATGGGGGTCGCCCTTCCCCGGGTCCCTGCGTATGGCAGCGGTGGCGCACCAGGGGGTCCACCAGGCCTGGAGCTACTCCGCAAAGTAACCGGGGCCAGGCTCGGGAGCTACCCGCGGGGCTGCCAGGCGGCCTCCCGCCCCAATTGAAATACCCAATGGTGCAAGTAGAAATCATTTCTTGCCCGTACTGCACTCACGGGAGGGACACAAGGGGGGCACGTGACTTCCTCACGTGACCCTCCATGTGACTCTTCCCCACCCCAGCCCAGTGCCCCCACACTCTCCCCGTCCCCTCTGATACCCTCCTTTGTATATACAAACATCAACATGCTTAACTACTCACTTTCCCCCAAGTATGTAATATTCAGTCTGTTTATATGGAATATGGAAGTTGGGTGAGGAGTCATTTCAGCCTATGTATGACTTATTAAAAGACAAATTTTAAGTAGAACTATATCCTAAACTGCTTTATGGTATTGTACCCAAACATTGCATTTCAAGAGGGATTCAACTTCCTTTATAGGAACAGACTCCTGAAACTTTTACCAGCCCCCAAAAGTGCTCCATAGTCATGCAAATAGTCCAATTGTCGTCAATGGAATTGATCAAATGATTAAGGGTTTGCAGGATTAGGTTCCAAGTTTGTAAATTGTTCTGGAGGAAACTGACAATGCCTGAACTGTCAGATGAGAAGGCGCTTCATTCGAATAAAGGTGGGCAAATGTGTGATAAATCTTAGCTCCGTTGCTAAGATGAGGAATATATTTTCAGCGAAGTTCTTGGCAGATTCCTGAGGCAGCTGGCTGGTTTAAGGCTGTCAGTGT